CTCGGGGACATTTTTCTGTTTGATGTCCGACTTGACAGAATTCAAAAAGCTGACCTTGGCATCTATAGCCAGATTCAAATTCTTTAAAGTGGCTACCAACTCAGTAGCTTTTGGTTCCATTTTTGCGAGCCAGTCTTTCACACTGGATGCATATGCTTCAATTAGAAGAAAAACAGACAAAAAGCAAAAAGCAAACAAGATGAACCAATAAACTCCAAACAACGCAAGGAAGACTACCACAAAGCTGAGCTCGGCGGTGCCGAGAGTGAGTTCGAATCTGAATTTCATTGTTAGAAGCAGTACTCAACCTCACAAAGAAACAGCTTAGAATGATAGAAACAGAACAGAACAACAGAACAACGAAACAATTTTTTTCTTCTTTTCTTCTCTAAAAGGCAAATTCAAAGAAAACAGATGCGGGTTTAAGAGCGTGAGAGTGTTGAAGTTCGATTTGACAAAACGTGGTATGGGAGAGAAGTTTGTAGTAAACAGGTGTTGTAGAGAAGAAGAAGAGAAGAGAAGAGGGGGAAGATCGGGGGGAGTCCATAAGCCAACAACAACATGATGGCGCTGAGGAAAGTGCACATACCTGCTATATTGGGTAGTCGCGATGAGAAGGATGACGGAGAAGGCGAATGGGGGAGGCAGGCAGGGCAGGGAGGGAGGGAGGGAGTTGTTACAATATGAGCTCTGATCTGGAAGGAGAAGGAGGATGAGGTAGCGACGAGGGTTGCAAAGTGACGCAGTGACGGGGAAACTTCTCAGCGCTTATCGCCGCGCCTGTTTCGCTTATCGGGCCGACGCGACTCCACCAGACTGGTTCACTTCAAAGGATGACAGCGAGGCGATCGGTATGTAGGGGTATATATCAAAGTGCAGAGTGTTACAGAATAGTAATGCATGGAGAGATGTGGGTGGTTTGGTTTCGTTGGATGATCGCAAAAATGAGGGGTGGTCGATGATCGGGCGGCGCGCTGTCCCTGAATCTTCTTTTTTTATTTTTTTTATTTTTTCTCTTCGCTTTGTTTACCCGCAATGATTCACCCCGTTTTGGGTAAACAAGTGGGGGAACTGGAACTTTTTCGTCTGCAGCCACGAATTGATTGTTGTTATGGCAGCTGCCCAACTTGTTGTTGACGAACTGGAGTTCTGCTTTAAGTAAGATTATGGTTGTTCTGAGTCTCATTAATACTATGGCTCTATTTTCTTCCCCCCCCTTTCTTTTTCTTCTTCTTCTTCTTCTTCTTCATCTGCCCTGATTCTCGGTTCTCCGCCGCACTACGCGTAGTACTACTAGTAGTATCTCTCTCATCTACCCCTATTTTCCTTTCTCCCCTTGTTTTATTAACGGAAGGTCTGGGTGACCTCTTAACTAAAGGTGGACCGTGGGGATAGATTCATTTTTGGATGCAGTCTTATCGATAGTTAACTCCACGGCCAAGACAGTTCTCCAACCTCGCATACATGCTACTAGTACGTTCTATTAAATTCGAGAATAGTAGTAGACTATTCTTTATGACTGGTAATTTGAAATATCACATCAGATTCACGGAGTAAAAGGCGCGTTGGACAGTAATTGCTTTACGCGACCGAGCCTGAAATTGCGCCGACGTGTTCCTTAGTTTGCTCTTTTCCTCCCCCCTGAAAATATATAATCACAACTGCTACTAGTACTAGTAATAGTAAACACCCGCAGCCCGAGCAACCAAAAACACTGAAGGTGAGTCATCAATGATTACTGTACCATTACTACTTGACTACACTGGTAAACGCCAAATACCCAGCGCAGAGTCTACAGATAGCCTTGAGACCACAATATCGATAGAATCCAGAACAATGAACAATATTAAATAGGTTAAATCCTGCTTTTGAAACTAATCACATACCACAGCCAGTCACACTGCAAGTGGATTTAAATTAGACTGCAGTAACTCCACTCGATCGCCGCGCCGCGCGGTGGATCACTCCAAAAAAGACGGCGGGCACTTGGACCAGCCTCGGTGTGTCACAGTGCGCGCGCGCAAGCGCGATGCAACAAGCGAACCTGACGGTCGGTGGAGGGGCTGTTCGCGTCAAGCATCGATTGATCAACTTTAATTCGGGTTTCTTCACCGCGATGAATTGTCCATAGTCTGGTCTGCGCTTGATTGGGTGGGCTTCCGCGACCCCTGCGGCGGCTATGCTGCATGCGCTACTGACTAGACGACGCCATGCTTCAAGCCTTCAACCTTGCTATAAGCGACGTAGTAATCCTCCGTCTTAGATTATTTCTACTACATTTCTATCTTCTCTTCATCCTATAGATAATTCATACACTACTACTAAGTATACAACACCCATTGAACAATGTCAACCTCCACACCCCAAGCTACACCCTCACCACTCCCACCCCAACAACAACCACAACAACCACCACCTTCATCTTCACCACCCAGCTCCAACTCCAACCCACCTCCCCCTCAAGACCAGCCTACTATCCCCCAACCCACCCTCCGCCTCCAAATCAACAACCTCCGCCACCCAGCCTCAAAGACCTTCCTAACCCTCCTCCCGGACCTAACCACCACACTCACCACCGCCCTCACAACCATAATCGAGCACCTATACATCCCTCCCCACCAGAAACAACCAACATTCCACCCCACCCCACCCCCAACCCGCTCCATAACGCTCCTCCTCCGCGCCATCTCCGGCGTAGCCTACACAACCGGCACGGAGCTAGACAACGACCACAAAGAAATCCACCTATCACTATCCTACATCGAAACCATCACCACCAACGGCAACAATCCCAACCCTACCGCCGAACTAACCGGCGTTCTCACCCACGAACTCGTCCACTGCTACCAGCACACCGCGCCCCCAGATTCTCCTCCTAATACCCCACACCAACCCCCCGGCGGCCTCATCGAAGGAATCGCGGACTTTGTGCGCCTCAAGGCGGGCCTGGAACCGCCGCATTGGAAGCGGCCCGCGTCGGCGAAGGAGAGAGCGGATAAGTGGGATGAAGGATATCAGCATACGGCGTACTTTTTGGCTTGGTTGGAGGATGTTAAGGTGGGTAAGGGGGCTGTCGGGATGTTGAATGATCGGTTGCTGAGGGTGGGTTATGCGGATGGGTTCTGGGAGGGGCTTTTTGGGAGGGGGGTTTTGGAGCTTTGGGAGGAGTATGGGGAATGGTTGGATGGGGGTGGTGGTACTGGTATTAGTAGTGGTGGTGGGTGTTGGGAGGATGAGATTGTTGATCGGGTGTAATGGGTATTATTACGAGTAGTATAGCTTTGGTGTATGGTGATGGCTGAATGGCGTCAGGGTCTTTCCAGGAAGGGTATTACTACCTATTAGGTGCTGTTGACGGTGCCATGCTTGTCCGTTGTGCGCAAGGTCCATTCATTCAGTAAAGTACATACCTCTATATACGTACTTCTCGTCTAGAGTAACTGTCTGTAAACAGCGTCATCCCAAGTCCATCTCTAGCCAGTCTTCAAAGATGCAATACAAAAAAAAAAAAAAATAGCGTTTAAATCGGATAACATGAACATAGAAATAACATCAGAAGAAAAATAAAAGAATAGATTTCCCATATTGTACAAATCCTTGCAATGGTGAATAGATGAGGGGGTAGCAGTATGTAATGTTGCATCGCTGTCAATCCCGCATTGACAACATCTATAACAGATATAATGTGTGACGCCGTTTCTTCAAATCTCTCATGCTCACTCCTACACAATCACCTCGCCCAAGTCCACGTGCACCGGCTTCCAGGGCGCGGCTCCCTCTTCCTCCATCGAACTAGGCACACGCACGTTCAGCGGACTGTACAAGTACCATCCCTTCAGGGCGGCGACGGCAGCCCTGGAACGAGCCTCGAGCAGACTGGCGCCAGCGCCCTCGCCCAACTTATCCTGACCAGAGTAGATGCCAACGACGAACACGGGGTGTCGGCTCTTGCGACCGGTTTCACTGATGATCCGGGCAACGGGCTGCTCGAAGTTCTCCCGAGCACACAGGCGGGCAAGATCCCGAGCGGGTTGGGAGAAGTTGAACAGGTCGGAGATGTTGAGGTGACGAGAGAGGAAGTGCTGCTCAAAGAAACGCTTGGCAGCAGGGCGGCCTGCGTGCAGGTAGATAGCACCCATCACAGCACGCACAAAGGTTGCGTTAGCCTGTTCGGCGGTCACGCCCTGGATGTTCTGGGCGTCCTGCTTGGACTGTTCCGAGGGATCCTTGGGCCCCTTGACTGGGTCTCCGAACTCATTGTCGTAGACGACACTTGACGTGATCGACTTCCGCCAATGTGTCTGATCTTCGTGAGGTCTCGCTGTGCCAGTGACAGGCTTCGAGTGCACATCAACTCCCGGGAGGACTCTGTTGAACTGCAGGTAGCCGGGGTCAACTTCTCCACCAGGAGCAGCAGCGGACTCCACACCCCATTCTCTCGCCATTGCGGCCAATGTCTTAGGCCCGACATACGCATACATGGCTGCGAATATAACGGTCAAGGGGAGTCGGGGATACGTGCAGATGAGGTATTCGGAGGTGTAGTGTGTCAACAAATCGTGACCAAGGGTGGCCAGAGACTCATTGTTGAATTTGGGGTTGGGATCAGCCGAGGCGTCCACGAGAGAGCGAGCGAGGGTCTCGAGGGGTAATCGTGAAGGGAGGTAAAGTCGTGCGTGAAGCGCAGCCAGTTTGGCGGACTCGCGTGCGGCCTCGACCGGGGGAGACGGGAGTTGGTACTTCGACTGTCGGGAGGTAGGGGGGCGAATAGATGATGCTAGAGGGTCTTCCTCGAGCAATTGATCATTGGCAGCCGGCGCAGCAGGCGAAGCGGTCGATTGATGCCGGATGCCAGTGTAGAGACGGTGCTGCAGGCGGCCACCAGTCCGGGCCTGCGCCGAAAGGACCGAACTGCTCCATCGTTGGAGCTGCAGCCTCTTCATCTGGGCAACTGTGTGGGTATTGGGCCGTAAATTAGAAAAAGACCGAATTCAATTGTAATGACCGCCCGGGGACGTGGCGTGGAGTGTTCAAGACGGGGGCAGATCCAACTTGAGCCGGCACGAACTTTTGGTCGGTAGAGAAAAGTCGAGCTTCGGAGAAAGTCACGGGGTCTGGCGGTCGTGTGAGAATCGGCCAGGTGGCGCTAAACCAAATACGGATATAGCGTCACGGGGTCTGGGACGAGGGACGAACGACGGCCATTTCGGCTTCCAACCCGCTCAGAATAACGACGAGCTTCTCAGCGAGCCATTGTCCACGTCTTTTCCCTACGTTCATTCTAGATACCCTCAATACACCATGGGTGGAGGCGGCAAGATCCCGTATGCGACTCTTCTCCCACCTGGGACCACCATTGCATCTGAGATTGACTGAATTCTTTCCGCAGGTATCCCAAGGAAGTCTGGTCTCCCGCGGGTGGCTGGTACGCTCAGCCCGCAAACTGGAGGGTCAACACGGCCATCATTGGCGCCGCTGTCCTTGGAGTTGTCGCTGTGACCTGGAGCATCAGTGCCGACCGTGAGCACCGTGACAAGATGCCGGAACCCGGCAGATTCTTCCCCAGTCGCTAGTCAGTCCCCTCAGCCAATCTCGTGTCATGTGTTTCTAAGCAGCAGTCATTGACTTTATATTGCTTCTATCTAGCTGGAGCCGGGAAATCAGAGAACACGAAAAGCAGCTGGCCGCCCAGAACCGGTCATAGAGCGGCAACAGGATGAAGAGGTAGTTGTGGGAAAATGAGTACCTGTGGTGGTTTTCTATGGCATGCCAGGTTTTGTTTCATAATTTTGTGGGCTGTACGACAATAGAAGGGCGTTCTTCCATACGGTCAGTTGATCTGAAAGTGCTTCTGAGGAGACTCTTCCAATGTTCGATACAAGCGCTGTGTGTACAGACGGACCCGTTCCGTGAACTCAGTCTCGTTCCAAAGCTCCTTTCCATCACTGGATGTAGACATGCGCGGCACTCCGATCTGCTCCACTACGAAGCTGGCCGCCACAGTAGCGAAAATCAAGGCCGTCAAGACCTGGCTATGCTGTGCAGCAGCTTGCACTGCTTCCTGCCATACCGTAGATCCTGCGAGGACCGAGTCGACAAGATTGGCTGGTTCTCTGCCTGAACTGACCATGCCCTGTGTCAGGGCACCCAGAAAAGAATTGCCCGCGCCAGTGGGGTCAATCACCGCTGACACCCCTGAAGCACTGGGCTGATGGTAGGCGGGCAGCCAGACCCTCTGGGATCTAGAGTAAGCGTAGCTGCCGTCTTTACCGGCTCTGATAACCAAATGCCCGTTCCCATCTGGACCAATACCTGACTCAAGGATCTTCTTGACGATGCTCTTCCCATAGTCGGTGTCCTCGCTCCATCCAGGCTGGCCAAACATCATTCCGAGTTCCAGTTCGTTGGGGCTCACAACATCTACAACTTGGTTTGCCGCAAGGAACCGCTCTTGCTCTTCTGGCGTGCATAGATCCGGCACAGGTTCCCAAACGAAAATAGGTCTTTTCGCAGCGTGCTCCACTGGGGGAGCTTTGCCTGCTCGCTGTAGTTCCTCCCGTCTGCGCAAGATTGTTTGTACAATTGAAATGCAACGCGAGGATGAGCAGACCATGTGGAAGGTCTTGGAGAACACCTGAGCATCAGACAGCATTTCTGGTTCCAGGCGCAACTTTGGGGTCAGGTATTTAAAGTCTGCGACAAATTAGTTTTTGTGTCGTTATAGCTGCAGATTCTAAGGATGGATACCGACCTCGCTTCTCATTCGGACCGTAACCATTCCAGGCCCTGGTTGTCAAACGACTGTGGTCCTCCCGGAATACACAGTTTGTATCCCACGACTTGAGCAGATCGAGAACATCTGGAGGGAAGTCGGAGCCAACATCCACAATCCAGCTCACGGCCTGCGAATGTTCTCTTCCGGTTACCAAGCGGGCACCAACGACGGCAAACGACGCTGCGCCTCCTAGAACATTCTTTACGTTTGGTCTTGTTCCATCGAAGTCTATATCGTCTATATCACAGGAAAGGGGGGTTCCGTAAGTACATAGTGCGATTTCGACTGCGAATGGGTAGATCATGGCGTACCAAGGATGAACATGCCCATTGTGCAGAAGTCCACATTATCTCTAGAGTGCTCCGAGGAGCCATGACCCTTCAACATGGTTACGGAAGCGCTCAATTACCTTGAAGGGAGAAAGACTGGTGAGATATTGTACTCTGGCGGGGTTCGAGGGATTCAATCCAATCCGCCGCTTGAGTCGCCGTCATGGCGGCCTTATCGGATTACCGGCTGATACCACCAACGTCATGGGAGACGGGCGGATAACAGCCACGCTGGCGTACCGTATGGTATGACCCACTATCAGGAGCTCCAGGCCTCAGGCACGGGTCAGGAGCATCGCCGTCTCATGCAATTCCAACGGCTGCCTTGATCCTCTCCCTCCTCAGCATCTTCTTTTTTTCTGCCTACAGGTCGCTACTGACCCTTCTTCTATCTCTCAATCGTGGCACACGGTAGCCCGTGCCCCTTAATAGCTCCCTTTGTCCTCCTTTACTCCGACTGTCATCAATAGCTCCCTCCCTCCTTACTTCGACAGGGGCCGTCAAGATGGCGACAGGAAGCCACATGCATAATCTTACCACCCTTATCAAGCGGTAAGCCTTGAATCAGATGCGCTTGGAACTTCAGCGCTGTGCTCTCTTCTATTCTTCTATACATCCCTCTATCAGTACCATGTGCGACCGGTTACATGTGTTTCTAACCAGCTGGAAATGCCAACAGGTTGGAAGCCGCAACCTCCCGCTTGGAGGATATGGCTATGTCACTGGATGACCCCAACTCGCCCAAGACCATAGCCCCCCCTGCTGTGCCTGAAGCTGCTACTCCTGAGCCTCCCAAGTCAGCTCCCGCTGCGGCTCCCGCGCCGCCTCCCATCCCGCCGCAAATCCAGGACTTTGACACACTGATTAACGAGGATGTCCGGAACTTTGTGGAATTGGGCCAAAAGATCAACGGCTTAGTTGGAGAACAGGTAGGAGAGAAAGCGCATGTTCTGCTGAGTGCATTGCTCACAATTTTCGCAGTCCAAGGTAGTCCTTCAAGCCTTCGAAGCCGAGCGCACTTACCTCCTTGTGTCCACGAAAGCTAGAAAGCCCGAGCAGCAGCCCCCGGAGCTCATGACGGGCCTCCACAATGCTTCGGACAGCATCAACAACATTCGCGAGTCGAACAGAGCTTCTCCTCTCTTCAACCACTTCAGCGCAGTCGCGGAGGGTATTGTTGCCCTGGGCTGGTTCTTCGCGGACAAGCCCGCCGATTTCGTCACCGAGATGGCTGGAGGTGTCGAATACTACGGAAACAAGGTCCTGAAGGAATACAAGGAGAAGTGCGCCGCCTAAACAACCTCTGTAATCCCAACTGGAGCTGACCCATGTTGCAGGGACCGTACCCACGTCCAGTACATCCAGGCCTACTACCAGATCTACAAGTCCCTCGCCGCGTACCTGAGGAAGCACTACCCTAAGGGCCTGACCTGGAACGACAAGGATGGAATCGACGCTCAAGAAGCTCTTAGACAGGTCAAGGCCGGTAGCTCTGGCCCTGCCGCCGGCGGTGCTGCTCCTCCTCCCCCGCCACCCCCTCCAGTTCCGACTCTGAACGTTCCTGGCGGTGTTCCTCCCCCTCCTCCCCCGCCGCCCGGCGTTCCTCCTCCGCCTGCAGCAGCCCCAGCTGCACCAGACATGTCAGCTGTCTTCGACCAGCTGAACCAAGGTGAATCCGTCACCGCTGGTCTTCGGAAGGTCGACAAATCCCAGATGACGCACAAGAACCCCAACCTTCGCGCCAGCTCCATGGTTCCCGATAGCCCAACCTCCGGAGGTAGCGCCGTTCGGGGCAAGTCGCCTGCACCCAGCAAGAAACCCAAGCCGGAGAGCATGCGCGCTCGCAAGCCGCCGCGCAAGGATCTGGAGGGCAGCAAATGGTTCATCGAGAACTTCGATAACCCGGGCGAGATCGTTGAGATCAACGCGCAGCAGAACCACTCTATCCTCATCTCGCGCTGCAACAAGACCATCATCAAGATCAACAACAAGGCCAACGCCATCTCCATCGACAACTGCACCGGCCTCTCCCTTATCGTCGACTCCCTCGTCAGCAGCCTTGACGTCATCAAGTCCCCCAAGTTCGCCCTCCAAATAGACGGCGTCGTCCCCACCCTCCTCCTGGACCAGGTCGATGGCGCTACCGTCTACCTGGGCCAGCAGAGCCTGGCCACCGAGGTCTTCTCCAGCAAGTGCACTGCAGTCAACATCATGCTCCCTCCTAAGGAGGGAACCGACGAGGATACCAAGGAGTGCCCCATTCCCGAGCAGATCAAGACATACGTGAAGAACGGCGTTCTGGTCAACGAGATCGTTGAGCACGCTGGTTAGATTTGCCTATTGGATAGATACTGCATATACATGTAGAATCTTGGATATTACTTACCCCCCATCTCCGACAACAACAACCACAACCTATCACTACCCTTGCCACCCAAAATGGAGGCGATAATATGCGGCAGTTGAAAACCAACTTCTTGGAACTTCAGTGCTGTGTTTTATTCTACTCAATCCCTGTAGATAAAATCTTTTCTTTTCCGTTGAAATCTTATCTTCCGCTATTACTATTTAGGACGTGTGAGGACGTGTGAGGACGTGTGAGGACGTGTATGGAAACAGGATGAGCCTCAGGTGTCCCTCCCCCTTTCCCCACTCCATCCACCCCCAGCAACCATGAACTACACAGTACTTAAAGGGATAATAAGAGACGTAAAAGAGGAGATAATCCAATTACCGCACATCAAAACCTACAGTAACTATGCGACACATGTTATATAACATCCACAAGCGTAGTGCAGACTGAATCAAGGCGAAACACAAAGTAAAATCAGATTGTTTCCGTATTAGGCCCCCCCCAACCCCGAAAACAATTACAAGACTGCATGACACTGCTATTCCCAACGATAGTATAGAACAAAGAGAGAGATTATTGCTGCTGAACGCACAGTCCACATCGGTTGTTTAACTAGTGTTCGATCGACATCAGGAAGAATTGAAGGTATCGGCTAAAGGAGAGAGATAAAGGGAGGAAAGACTTATTCAAGATATCTAAAGTAGTGGAATATGTAAAGAAGAGAGAAAGGGTGACATGTTGAGGTGGGTATATTTGCTAGTTCCCGTACTGTGATGATTGTCCTGTGCGCCTGGCCGTGCGTATTTATTTTGGGTGAAACGGCAGGATGGTAAATTATAATGAATGAGATGATCCTGCATCTGCGCTTAAGAGGTATAGTGCTGTGCTGTTAGTTGAGGAAGACGTGAGGTTGTCCCGCTGTGCTGTGCCGTCCTGCTTGAGGAGAGAGATGCACACTTCAATGAGATGTATAAGAGAAATGGAGAAGAGGAAGCAGAAATGAAGAAAGAAAATGAGGTTACCATCACGATACGGGCGACGTCATGCTGGTTAAACGCGTGCCGGCGTTATTCACGGGACTTTCCCAGGTCAGGAGAGTCGTGCTTGTGCACGTCCAAACCCCTCAGCTTCCTGGCAAGGAGGCTGTCACCAGCCTCGGAACCGTTGAAAGCGAACGGATAACCGCCGTAGCCGGTCTCACCCTTACTAAGTTTACCATAGAGCCCACGCTCCGTGTTACACTGTTCCGCAAAATTTGGGTCGAGTTTGGGCCCTGGAGACAGTGACGGAATAGGCCGAAAAGGATGTGAGGAAGGCTGGGGAGGACTGAAGAGGCTGGAGGTGCCCCGTGGGGCACCTTCTCGGTCTGCAAGTGTACGGTCTGAGAACGGGTCCTCTGGAGCACAGGTGGAGGAGCTCCCGGAGTAGGGGGGCTCTCGTGAGGTCATAGCCCCCAATGGACTCAGCATCGATGATGGTTCTCGATCTGTGGGTGCTTTGTGTGGCATCTGGTCTGTTGATGACCGTGCAGCTGCGTGTGTATGACTGGACTCCCGCGAGGGTTTGTAAGGCGTGTAACGGGGATCAGGGCATTGAATTTCATTGCGAAGCTTTTCCTTACCGTCGGGAACTCTATTGGCAAATACAACACGAATGCTAGAGTGAAGATAGAATCGGCCCCGAGAAGGACAACATATGTTCAGATGGATCAAGTACCGTAGAGTCGGCTTGTCTTTGGGATCCTCCGAAGCGTTGAGCGACGCTTCAGGGCGATCGGTTCCGTAGTTCTTTCGAGCGCTCAAAGGCATATCAATGATGGGACCCACCGAATAGCTTCGTTGTCGGATGAATGTCTTTGTCCCCGGCTCCATATCGCTGAGGTCATAGGGCACGAGGAACAGCTTCACCGCTGTTTTGTTGGGGTTCTTGATCATGATCTGCAACTGACCGTGTTGTGGGATTCGGTAGCAACCACCCGGTGGACTTTTGGGCGATTCCGCCCTCCTATGCCTTTTTTCGCGCCTGCGCAGAGTTTCCTGATCGGTTGACTTAAGTTCTGTGGTGTTTCCCATGACACAGTCGTTGTGTGTTCCTGCAGGGCTCTGATGGCGCCTGCGACGTCGACTGCTACCACTGGACGTGTCCCGAGGAAGGAAATTGTCCAAATCTATCGAGCCAACATAAGGGCTGGGGCTATCGTCCGCGATTGAGCGGCCACTGCCTGACGTGGGGTAGCTGTAAAACACCGCCGGAAAGGGGATTGTCACGTGCGGTGGGCATTTGAGGTTGGCTTTGCATTTGCCTTTACCGAGGACGCCAATTTGCGCGGTAAAGTCCAAGGGCTTGGAAGGGCTCATTGACATTCTTCCACGGAGGATAGACTCCTCGTATGAGCCAACCATTGGCGCATGTGCTCTGGAAGAGACTTCTGAGCCCACCGAGGGCCTTCGAACCCTCGTGATCGGAGTTTGGACCGAGGATGCAAGCTGAAGGCTGTATGTGGAAGTCAGGGACCGCCGAGGGGAGTGCAGATGATAAGATGTTGCCGTGTCCCATGGTGTGCGATGAGCATCAGACTGGAAGTAGATCCCCTCTGCATGGCCCCCATGCGATGCCTGCAAGTGCTGAAATGTTTCCGGGGGAAGGGTACGGCGGCGACTGACTTTGTCGATGGCGTCCGAATGACCGACATACTCCGGCCGAGGAGAGAAGTCCAGGTCTGTATTATTTGCCTGGTGAACAAGAGGGCTCGTCGGGGCTTTCAATATGTAGCTCGACGAGAACGAGCCGAGAGAGGGCGCCCGGGAACGGGCTGTCGGGGTTGCTGTCTGAACAGATAGAGATTGGCCTCGTAAAGAGGCTGGGAAGACGGGAGTACTGAACCAAGGCGTCGTCGGGGAGGAACTCAGTAGTGGAAAATGTGCGTTGACGGTGCGACCAGGCACCGGTGATGACGGGGCGTGCTGCTGGCTCTGGGCTTGAGAGCTTCCTTCCCTAAAGTCTCCTGAATGTAAAGCTGAGCGAGGGCGTTCAATATCGGCCGGCGATGCTAACTGCTGATCACTCGAGTCAGACTGGTCGCTAGGACCAGCATTTACAGGTGCTTTGTCTTTCATGTTGGCGGAAGATACATCGGATGTCTGAGAGGTAGGGTTCGGACTGCTTTCCGACTAATAACGAATGAATGGGGTTAGCAAGGTCTCGGATACATGACAATGGAGCTTCTGCTGTTCTAGATAAGATAGAACAAAGGAGGAGAAAAGAAGAACCCGAGACAAAAAAGTGTGCACTACAGTGGCAGGACATACGGAATGATGCGATGCCCATCGGGGCGCATCGGCGCTTTTAATATACTGGATCAGTTCCTCGCGATTTGTTGCATGCATTCCCGCCCGGCTTCGATCCGGAGAGGGGCCTTCGTATGGGACATTTTGGGACCCCGTGAGGGGGTGGCTGCCCAGGGGCTCCCCAGGAGGGTGTTTCCAGGGGGAAATGGTCTGACGTCGAGCATTAAGCCGTGGCTGGTGATCATCAGACCACAAATCCTGGAGCCGCTGGTGTTCCGGATCCTGGAAGATGGGCATGGTCACCGGGAGAGGGAATGGGCAGAATGACGGGAAAAGAGGGCAAACATCGCAACCTCAGGAGCAGAGAGATCAGGGAGACGGACAACGAGGACCCTGATAACGCAAGAGGAGAGGGGATTGCAGAGGTTGCGATGATCCGCAGAAACCGAAGTGGCGGAAGAGGAAGAGGAAGAGTCACGGTGGAGTCGACGATGACTTGATCTGCCTTTTGAAGACTGGCTCCGGTGTGGGTAAGTTGTTTCGGGGCGTGGGGAACCAGAGGAAGGAAGATGAGAGAAGGTACGGAGTATATATATATTTATATTTAGTAAAGACGATAAGATAGCAAGACTGACCGGGAATAATTGAGCGATGGAATTTAACAGGACATCTGAAACGACTAGAGAATCAATCGGGCGCGAGTAAAGAGAATAAAGACCAAGAAAGCAGCAGACGTGAGGGGGAGAGAAATGCGGAAAGAGGAGAAAATAGAAAAAAAGAGGCAGAAGATGCGGAGGCAACGCTTTCGATTCCATCATCGGTCGACCCTCAATCAATTTCCCTGCCCAACTCTATATTTTCCCCCTCTAATTTCCCCTCCATTGTAACCCTACACCTGCAGAATTCTTCCCTGCAATCTTCCTGATTATTGCAATAAAATCCCGCCATTCCCGGTGGAGACAACGCAGCTTTGCTTGGGAACATCCTGCAAGAGCAGCCCATCACCCGCTAAACTCGAGTTCCTGCACCCGCTCGGCCTCTGCCGTCCAAAACTTTTTTTTTTTTTTTCTCTCTTCTACAGTAATTAAAAAAAAAAGGTCAACGAACAACACATCCCACCCCCGCCACGTTGTCGCTGGATTAGTTTCCTGCCCAATACACCGCTCCTTACATTCCGCGATCGGAGTCGAATTTCAAGAAAAAGAAAAAGAAAAAGAAAAGAAAAGCAAAGCAAAGACAACCAATTCAAGCCCCCGACCAACCATGGCCCCGAAACGCTCCCGCGACGATACCACCACCGCCGACGAGAAGCGGGAAACCACCAACGATGCCCCCGTGAAGAAGAGAAAGGGTTTCAGCGTCGGTCCTGCAAATCTCCCAGATGGAACATACCGTCGCAAGAGTGAGTTTTTTTCCCCTTTTCTTCTTCCTTACCCCTCACTACTCCAGTCTAGAACCGTGAAAGTTAACAGAAGATAAACCAAATATAGCCCAGAAAATTAAAAACGATTTAATTCAAAAAGCCAAGGTCAAAAAGGCTTACGCCAAAGTTCGCGCCGCCGAGCTTGCCGCCGCTCCATCTAGACCCATCTACACCGACGATGCCCAAGATCAAGACGAGGATAACAAGCGCGCGGACCCGACCCCGGCGTCGTTGGAACTTCACCCGGACCGACAGGCTATGCTAGACCAGCCGGCGCCGGAACCCGAACCTACTGCTGCTGGTAGACCGCAGCGTGGGGAGAAGCGCAATGCGAAGGGACGTCGTGAAAGAAAGCCTAAGCCCTCTGCGTTTGCTCGAGAGATGGAAATTGCGGAGAAGCGGAGGAAGGAGGCGGAGAAGCGTAGGGAGGAGCGCGAGTTCAGGCAGAAGGATCGCGAGGCGATGGCGCGCGCAAAACGGCCGGATCAGGCTGGGAAGAGGAGATTGGGGAGGGAGAGTAAGGTGTTGTTGGGTCGGGTGGAACGGTTGGTTGGGAAGGCATAAGATGGTGATAATGCATGGCAGGGCATTTACAATGTTGATTTGATTGCGAAGGTGTTCAAAAGCTTTGAATATGATACCCACTAGGTAATGACTACATTTTTTTTTCTATCTTCTTCATAAGGATCAGGCTGCTACTACTTTCAAGATGATCTGTATTTTCTCTTGTGGGGACGAAGGGTGGGATCGATCTAGGCGGATGGTTTGTGCCCGTTGCCGCTCCGCGGCTTTCGGAAGCATGCAAACTCGCCTTTGGTTCTTTCTCTCAAGCGCTTCAGGATGCCTCTCATTTCTCCCAGCTCAGACTGAAGCCGTGCGCGTGCCTCGTGAGTGGTCCGTCGATCCAGCTCAACATAAATCTGACTTTGTATCGCGGATGCTTCGTCGGTCGAGAACTGCGACATAGTCTGCGCGATGAATTCGGTGTCCAGAGTGGCCTGCATGAGAGCTGGCAGAGTGTACGAGGACCGAGAACTAAAGGCGTTTAGAAGCGACGTCGACACCTGGGTCAGCAAATACGTCAGGACGACGGAGAGCAATGAAGATTGGGCGGCGGATGAGGAGCGGCTCGGCACGGCCGTCAACGTCGAAGGGATGGTGGTGGTAATCTCTGTGTGTACGAGCACCAGGTCCAGCATGGTAGTGTAGACGTATGGACGGACCTGATCCGGGCGGGACGATGCCGGTTCCCAGTCGGGGGCAGTGATGCTGTTGACAATCGTCGTGTTCAGCGCGTTGATGGTCGGCTTAGTGTACGATTGGAACAAGCGATCATCGATCTGGTTAAGCACATCGCGGACGGTCTTGGCCTCCTCAGTCAACCGGACTGAGAATGAGTTCTCAAAGTTGGCGACCAGCTGCGGAACGAGATCGGCCTGGAATGCCTTGATGTTTGACAAAGTCAAGAGGATGCGCACATTCTGTAGACGCATTAGCCAAAGAACTAGCAGAAGATTGGCGTGTTAAGAATCGATGATCTACTTACTCTATTCCGAGAATCGACCGCATCCGCAATGAGTAGCGACGGGGATGTGTCAAACTGGCTTCGTGGCACCGTAGAGCCAGCCGCGATCCATTCATCCTCATCCTCCGACGATGTAGGATGTTCCGCATTCTCAACCAGGCCACTCAGCGCCTTATAGACACTAGACACAAATTGGGTGCGAACCATCTGTAGTAGTTTGGCAGGGGGCTGGGTCACAACATCGACGGAACCAGATCTTGCCATAGCCTCAGGGATGTAGAGGATCTTCTGCATACCCGCGATAATTGCGTTCTCAAAGGCAACAAACAGACCAGGCATCTTGGTCAAGTCTCTCTTTTCCGGGTCTCGAGTCCAGTCTTCCAACATCTTGCAAATTTCGGCATCCTTCCCCCAAGCTGCGCATGCCACACGTACTGAGCGTTCGCGTGCCACACTCACAAGGGATTTGAGAAGATCACGGGTGTTGGTACTGTGCACCACAGGCTCCAAGGCGGCCATCTCACTAGCCGCCGTGCCAATGAGCACTAGACATTGACTGAGATAGTGAATGCCACTGAGAGAATTCGAGAATGGTGGCCAGAAGGCGTAGTCTTCCCAATGCTCCCCGCGCTTCGGTGTGGGGAAGGGCATGTTCTTCGGATCAAGCTTGAAACGCGACTCTGTTGGGGTTACGCCCCGACTTCCAGGGCTGCTGGGGCTGGCTGTGGAGATTGGCGAGGTGAGGAGGGATACATCGTCCACCGGGGGATCGGCGAACAGTGAGAGAACACTCTCGCGGATGAGATTGAGAAGCTCGACGACTCCCTTTTGCAGCTCTCTGGCGTCATTGGACGAAAGTCGGTGGTGTTTGCGACTTTCTCCCTCGAACCCAGCTGGAAGAAGCTTTTGCCTGCTGCCGTCAATGAAGGATTGCGCTACTTCCCAAAAATCGAAGACTTCGCCAAGGAGACCTCCTTCAGAGGACAACAGCCTGCTCAGATAGGTATTAATACATTCCCAGAGCTCGATGACTTGGTCGCTATCGCGCATGGTTTGGGTGTCCAGAGCGCCGTCGCGTGGGGCCAATCGGAGGTACGATGCCACTGCCTGAGGCGTCGGTTTCTCACCACTAGCCAGTCGACGCCTCAGAATTTCTATCTCGACCTTGCAACGGTCACAGAATGCCGTGATCTTCTTTTTCAAAAAGTCGTAGCGACTGAGAAGCCATACCCAGATAGGATTGTCATCGACCCCTAGCTCCAGGAGAGCACCGATAAGCTCCATGTGCTCCTCTACGGGACCTGTAGCAGTAACTGTGGTCGAGGTAGTAGGCGCATCGCTGAGGCGCCTCCACAGGTCGCGTTTGAACGCTTGAATTTGCGAATCAACATCTATCCACATTCGTCCCATGGCCAGAATAACATGGGCCTCTTCATCCGTCAATGGCTGGTGCTTGCTCGTTGCGGTATCGGCAATATCCCTGGCAGTCTTGGATAGAGCCCTTGCCTTCCGATACTGCTCAAAAACAGAGTCATAGTCTCTCTGCTTGATGGACTTGGAAAGGTGACCGCCTATTTCATAGATATCTCTATGTTTCTCCATAGTGTCGACAACGGACTTGAGCACCTGCTCCCTTTCACGTCCTCCCAATGCCGGACCCCACACCTCCTCTGCTTTAACAGATGCCTCGAGCAATGGAACACGGATACCCTTCATGCCGTATTCGCTCTCTTTCGTCAGAGCGTTCTTGCCGGGACCTGCGTCGGAAAGGGCCGAGGTAGCTATGCTCTGTTTGCTTCCCGAGAGGCTCCGCAAATGACCAACCGACCGGCGGTTGGCATGAGGGCTCAAATACTCCTCTTTCTTGCCCTGATTTCTCATTTCTGTATATACACTGTCGATGGTCGCTTTGGCTCGAACGAATCGCTCGAAGTTCGCTTCGACGAGGACTTTCAGCGACGCGGATTTCTGGTCAATTGATTGAGAGAGAATGTTGAGACCTTCAAGAAGGGACCGTATCGACGCATCGGAATGGACTTGGGAGAGGAAGAGCGCCGGGGAGAAGGAGGTCGATGAGAGCAGGAAACGATTCCGCAGGCGACTCTCTTCATCTAGCGACAAGCCTCGCATTTTGAGGATCTTGAGCACACTGTCCCCTGTTCCCAGAGGATCAGGCTCATCCATCTTGACGAGATTCTCCCGACCATTGTTGCCTTTGAAGGAGCCTAGAGTGACCCCCTTCCGCGTGCTATTGCTGCGCTCCAAAGCAAAGTATCGGGATTTCTCCGAGCGCGAGCCACGACGTTCTAAAGCTTCGTCTTCAGAATGGTCGCTTTCATCCAGTTCAGCGGGCCATTCTTCAGGGAAAGCCGAGGGCAAGTTATAGTAACTGGCCACGTCGACGTCAGCCATGTTCGGGGGTGGGTGGGTAGGTGTTTTGGGAAATCGGCGATAACGGAGGTTGTTATTATGGGGAGAGCGATTAAGCACGGAGGGGAGGGATTAGGGAGGCCACATGCAGGAAAACGCGCAGCAGCAGAGTGGGGACGATTGGGGGTTCAGAATTAGGGTGTTAACTATAGAAAGGATAGGCACAGCCAGAACAGGCAGTTCGGAGGGAACGTTTGGGACGTTGGGTTAGCTTGGGAGTTATCAGATCAAGCACGGGAAGCAGACTGGAGCCGGTGGACTGACGGTAACTCGCAAGTTTGTCTCTTGTTCGGTCGGACCGGGAGCGGCGGTGCCGAGAATCACTGGATGGATTAAAGTGCCTTTCTTCGCCGCGACTTGCTCTCTTCGTTCCCGCACAAGGAAACCCGCCGCCGCCTTTTCCACCTCTCTCTCTCTCTCTCCTCTCTCTTCTTTCTCTTCCTTACTCTCCTCTCTTCTCCTCACCACCCCCCCAATTCCTTCTTTTTATTCCACCCTTGACCGTTTGACGTCGATCTCGGGGACTTTATCACAATGATTGCCGCCAGGAACTTTGTCGCTCCCGCCCGTCAATGCTTGCGGACAACACGTGTGTCCCCTCGCATTGCCTCGCCCTTCTCGCAGGTAACCTACCGACCGCTTTCCTCGCCAACATCACCTGGAAGGATTCTCGTTCTAACTGCACATCTAGCTCCGCACTTACTCCGTTGCTGCCGATGAGCGCGTCGCCAAGTTCAAGGGTCAGAAGGACACTGATGTATGTCGCGTCCCGGGCAACGCCTGAAACATTTTTTTGCGTCCATCCTTTGGTCCGGTAGCTTCCGCCGCAACTTGCGACAACGGCCTATATCCAACAGCTATTCCGAAGGATGGTTCATAGATGAATGGTGTTGTTGACATGATGTGTCCTTATAGGGAAAATACACTGTTACCCTGATCGAGGGTGATGGTATCGGTCCCGAGATCTCCCAGTCGGTGAAGGATATCTTCGCTGCCGCAAACGTACGCCTCCCGCTTTCCTACGATCGCCTATGATATACAAACCCAGCGATGCTAAACTACCTGTGTGCAGGCCCCTGTCAAGTGGGAGCCCGTTGATGTTACTCCCATCCTGAAGGACGGCAAAACCGCCATCCCCGACGAGGCCATCAAGAGCGTCCAGAAGAACTACGTTGCGCTCAAGGGTCCTCTTGCTGTACGTCCTTCCTTCTAGACTGTTTTGCGATAGATCTTCTTCTAAACGCTTCGTCACATAGACCCCCGTCGGCAAGGGCCACGTCTCTCTGAACCTGACCCTCCGTCGTACTTTCAACCTCTTCGCCAACGTCCGTCCCTGCCGTTCCGTTGCCGGTTACAAGACCCCCTACGACAATGTCGACACCGTCCTGATCCGTGAGAACACCGAGGGTGAATACTCCGGCATTGAGCACGTCGTCGTCGACGGTGTTGTCCAGAGCATCAAGCTCATCACCAAGGAGGCCTCCGAGAGAGTGCTCCGCTTCGCCTTCCAGTACGCTCGTTCCATCAACAAGAAGAAGGTCCGTGTCGTGCACAAGGCCACCATCATGAAGATGTCCGACGGTCTCTTCCTCAACCTTGCTCGTGACATCGCCAAGGAGTTCCCCGACGTCGAGTTCGATGCTGAGCTGCTGGACAACTC